CTTCTGAAACTTGAACATTTCGTAAATTAACTGATTCTCGAATATTTCCAAGATCAATCAAATCCTTCTTATGTAATGCATTTTGTTTCTTCTCAAGATATCGTTGTAAAATCGATTGATATTCATTTTTATGATATTTTAAAAAATGACGTTTAAGATTTGAAACTGAAGTATTTGATTTATACGATTGTTCACAAAAATCACAAATGATTAATGTTTTATCAATATTACCATGAAAAAATTTTCGAATTTCATGACGAGAATGAACTTTTGGCATTTTAATTTTATTTTTTTTTAAAAAAAAAACTTAAACTTTATATTTTATTTATTTATAAAATTTAATTTATTATTAAATTACGATATTACAGTTCTTAAATTAGATTGGAAAATCGAAACAATAATGTCAATTTTACAAATCAGGTAATGTCGAATTACCTACTTTGGCTCATTCTGTACCCAAAAATATTTTACAAATCAGGTAATGTCGAATTACCTACTTTGGCTCATTCTGTGATCAAAATGTATTTTACTATTTGAGTAATACAAAATTACCTACTTTGGACTTTTCTGCGACCAAAAACATTTTACAAATTGGGTAATTGAAAAATATAAATACATCTGTACGTAAAATAAAAATATTAATTTGATTTTAACATGGACTGTAAAAACTCCATCAAGAACCTGGTAGTAGATAAATCTTTACGATTGCAAGATCCACAAGTTTTTTTTAAAAAATACCTTTACAACGATCAATATGAGTTTTATATTAATGAACGTGAGATTGTTCATGTAAAAAATATCAATAATAACAATGTAATTGATATTTTTTTAAAATGTGTCTTGAGAAGATATCTTAAGGATAACGAAGCAACCGCTAATGAAAAAGAAAAAACTGGTCGTTTTAATACGTGTCCTTTTTGTGGAAAATTAAACTTTAATTATTATTGGGGTCAATATTTTTTCACATCCGATGATAATCAACCAAATCCTTTTCTCAATCTAATCGATGAAAATCTTAATCGTTGTGGTATCTACAATCATTGGAATTCGAATGCTTTGCATGTTGGTGATAAGTTTCAGCTGAGAATTATTGATATTCCTCATGTTCAAAAATTTTTTTCTACATATAAAAATTGCAAAAATGTAAAATTGTATTGGTGTGCTCATGAAAATATTAGCGTATATCATAAACATGGCCGTCTTTTAGATATTTATTCAGAAAAGGATCTTTTTTATTATGTGAATCATTTTTTAAAGCA